CAGTTTATCCCCTCCGCCCCCCCCCCCCCCCCATCTCTCCTAACTGAAACTCTGTACCTCAAGCACCTGTTGATCGATGCCTGAAGCTCAAAAAGGTACATGAGCTACCTTTGAGGCATAATAGGGCATTTTTGGCCCCATGGACTTTAATGGAAGCAAGTAAAACTCCTGAAAAACATCTGAAAAAGCTTGAAAGCACCTGGAAATAAGCGTTTTATTAAGGTTAAACAACCATCTCCCTCTCCTAGTACCTAACTTTCCATTGGCTGAAACAAAAAGCCTGAATATGCATGAACATACAAAAACACACAAATAAAAACACTCCAAAATCATCTCTAAATGCTCCACGCTCAGGTGTAAATGCAGCCTAAAGTGTGTCTTAAGTCCAAACTTTTTTCCCACTTTCGACGTAGTAGGTAAGAGCTTGGTGACTATTGTGACCGAGGTTGAAATAAATTAAAATCCCAAATTTTGAGTCACCAAATCATAATGGGAAAATATTCCGATGGGAACACTTGTTCTGGTAAATGTGGTCTAAAAGGGCATTTTCCTCACTTTGGAGAAATGTACTCTTACTTCCTGTTGTGTGCAGGAGAAGAAGTGAAACCACAACTCCGGGCAAACATTTATGAAAATGCTAACTCTCATGAAGTGTATGCCACCTCCAGCATCACTGCACTTCTTCTAATATTTATAGTTTCTTTCATTCTAGGAAGTATAGCTCCTGTAGTCTTGAAGTCCCAGTATGGTTTATCCCCCACCCATTTACACAATGCCTTTTATCCTGTGAACCAGCTTCTGTTCTGCGTTATGGGCAATTTCTCCAGTGGTACACAATGACAAACCTAACTTTGGTTTTAACCTTTACCTGTACGAATCAAAACAATAGAAAGTTTTGGCCTTAGCTATACCTTATCGGTCTATTTATTAAAAGTATGCAGGGCCAGCAATGAATTTGCCCCAAAAATATCTGAACATTGGTTTGGCGCAAATAATGTCAAAAAACTAATTTTCACAAATTGTGCAGTGAAATTAGTTTAAACTATTCAGATAGTGGAGAAGAGCCTGTACAACTGTGCAAGACTGAAAGTAAGACAGAAGTTCAGCCTTAACACAGTATTACATTCTAAAACGTCTTTCAACAATAAACCCAGATCAATCAAATATACATTACCCTGCAACGTATTTTTTTACATTTTTGCCCACGCACTTACAGTCATCATGTTTCCAAACAGTAGGCTGCAACTCTCTCAGCTCTGCTTCCCTGAACTTCCTGTTGAGTGCAAGATCACAAAGGAGAGCACAGTTTCCAGCAACTGTTCATCTACTAGCTTAGAGAAGGGAGGAAGGAGGAATAGAGAGCAGAGGAGCTGCTTGCCTTGCTGTGCCCGTGTGTTTCTGGAGATACACACAGCTTACTAGCACATGGCTTACTAGTTGACTAGATGACGCTGCAAGGGAAAGGAGGTGACTGCATAGCACTCTGCTTGAGAAAGGAGTCACCCTAAAACAGGAAGTCAGGGCCAGTGCTCAGGAGACCAATTAATTTTGCAGTTTAAAATTGTGTGACTTGATATAAAGGTAAATTATGTATTATTTTTTAATAAAAAGTTTTTCCATAAGTTGCCATATAGCAAAAGTAGCTATATCTAGTTTGTGAGGCCCTGCACCCTCAAAATTAGAACTGAGCGAAAAGAAGCCCTTGGATGCAATTGTAGGCAGGGGCCAAGTTGAAGATGAAGGCTAACCCCTCAACTAGTTTTCCCTTAATTCTTTCCTGGTGATAGCTTTGAGGGTCCACTGAAGAGTGGGAGAATGCGGGGAATTAAGGTTGTTTTGAAAATGTTGAATTTACTGCCTTTTTTCTTCTTCTTCTTTATTGAAAAAATTGTTACAAATCTGTTTTATAACTTGTTATACCTTATGGAAAACCAATAAAAACTTTGAAACCCTAAAATTGTGTGACTTCAGTATTAATATTCATTTTGAGGATTACATACACCACAAAGTTAATTTTAAGCACAGTAATTCATTTATAATCAAGTCATTATTTTCTTCTCTTATTTTCATAGGTTCCTAATTCTAAACATGAAGAACAAGATGTGGTTGGCACATTGGTAGCTGAGATTGAGAATGCTGGGGAAACCATAACAAAGAGTGCAAAGGTCCTTCTGAAGAAGTCAAAATCTGGTCTTCTTATCCAGACAGACAAAGCTGTGTACAAACCAGGACAACAAGGTAACAAAAAGAGCACATTTCCAGTATTCACTTTCCACAAGCTGTCCGCTCCCATCATTGCGTTGTAATGTAACTGTATTTGTCACAAAACACTATAAAGCATTTTTGGTGCAGTAAGACATAATTCTAAGGCAAAACAAAAAATAGGGGGTGGAGGGATTTATCAAAACTGGAGCATACAGAATCTGGAGCAGTTGCCCATAGTAACCAATCAGCTTCTCTCTCTCTCTTTTTTTAAGCATGTTTATCTTTATTGGTTTTTGTAAAACACATAACAACTGAAGGACAGGCGAGTTGCAAACAGTGGCGTCACAAGTGGGGTGCGGATGCCACCATTGGAAGAGTACAAATGTCCCAAGTCCTGTAGCACTCCTTACCGGAATCCCCAAATTGATATTGGGTGCTCGCAATGACAGCGGATGGCGCCGCACTTAAAACAGTCTTCAATAGAGATGTCACCAGCACACCAGCATGACAAAGACTCAAATGTCAGTGCAAATTCATTTATTGATGATAGTCACTCAAAATGACAGTCAATGACTGAAAGGCATTTTGGTGTCACCCCCTATGAAAAGTCGGGCACTCGGTCATGGACCAAGAGCCAGACAGTGTGAGGAGAGAGGAAGGGACCCGGCGGCATACCTCATCACGCTGGTGAACATCCCCTCCTCTCTCTGCCGGCGTCCATTGCCAAGATGATGACACCGCGCTTGCGATGACGTCACGGCCGGGTGTCACCCCTTCCCCGCTCCGGGTGACACCGGGCCACGGGAGGCCTCTGGTTGCAAATATGACTATACAATTGTGTAACCAAAACAAATATGTGATATAGAGATAATAAGAAAACTTGTCATTGTAAAGAACATCAAGATAGGTTATAACTAGGGATGCACTGATACCGGTTTTTCGGTATCGAGTGCCGATAATTTTTTTCCCGGTACTCGCCGATACTGAATACCAATGCTGGAAGTCCCATGAGAAGCAAGGAGACCACTTCGCTGCTAATCGGGAAGCCAGGCCGCGTGTAATGACTCGCCACCTGGCTTCCTGATTAGCCAGGAAGCCGGGTGGCGTGTAAAGACTCGCCACCCAGCTTCCCGATTAGCAGCGAAGTGGTATCCTTGCTTCTCATCACTAAGTGACGAGAAAGCATGGAGCCGGCTTTCTGGCTAATCAGGAAGCCGGGCTCTGTGTAATGACGTGGCACCCAGCTTCCTGATTGGCCGGGAAGCGGGCTCCATGCTCCCTTGTTCCAAGTGACGAGGGAGCATGGAGCTGGCTTCCTGGCCAATCAGGAGACCAGGCAGCCCAAATACTCGGCATCGGCACCGATAATAGTATCGGTATCGGTGCATCCCTAGTTATAACATCTATAGCCGACCACTAGAAACATTAGTAGTATCATGTAGAGTGGCAAAATCAAATCAATAATAGTATATCCAAAGAAAGTATGAAGGGGGTCGAAAGTGAAAATGTATAAGAGTAAATGAAAGGAAAAGGGAAAGGAAGACAAGCAGGTTACAGATAGATCAAGTCGGGTACATGATTGTTATATTTGCAATGCATTTCAATCTAGCAGAGAGGGATTCACCAGGGTATAGGACGTGAAAGGGAGAAACAGCAGCTTCTCTTTTCAGTCTCTTGATCAGTGTAGCTTTAAAAATGAAAAGCTAGAAGCTTATTGGTTGTCAGACAAGCTTATTGGTTGTCAAACTGCTCCAGTTTCGATAAATTCCCCTCAATGTGTAACTTTAGCAGTTCTGAAAGTATAGTATAGCTAAACCCAAAAAACAATAATGCAATATGTTGTGGCTTACCAGTCCTTACAGGTGTCGGCTGCATTCCCTTTCTCTTTACAGGCTCTTTTCTCTTTATTTTCACCGGATGATCCTGCCAATAAGAGACTTCCTGTCCATGGGTGGTTAGGTCCACTCCACCATCTTCACTACTCCAATCTATGGAGGAAGCCATCGTTGTCACCCAGACTGGACTACAAATATGTCCTCTTCATCTCTACTACAAAGAGAGGAGGATTACAGAAGGAAGATAACATTGTTTTGATTTCAGCTCACTTTAAGTGTCAATGACACATCATTTCTGGCAGGATCATCAGGTATTTTCTGTACTTGCTGGAAATGACCTTAGCCTAACAAATGACAATGCAGTCACCTTATCTAATGACTGGTAAGCTGCAAAATTATACTTTTTTTCTGGAGTTTTTAGGCTTTTCGCCCCTTATTTTCACCCGGTAATCCTGCCAGTCACACACGTCTTGTTTACACTCATTTCTCCACTGTATTTATGGTGGCAGCCATGGTACTCACACAGGCTGGATTTCAAATATGTCTTCCTTGTTCATCTACATTAAATGGTGGATTTACGGGACTAGTAGTTTACACACGTAAGATAAGGTTCTTTGTGCCCTATTTTAACCACTTCAAGACCAGGTTTTTAGACCTCCTTCCTGGCCAGGCCATTTTTCAGTATTCAGCACTGCGGTACTTTGACTGACGTTTATTCCGTCATGCAACGCTGTACTGAAATGAATTTTATACCATTTTTTGGGGACAGATAGAGCTTTCTTTTGGTGGTATTTAAACACCACTGGGGTTTTTATTTTTTATTATAATTAGGAAAAATTACAGAAAATTTTGGAAAAAAAACGTTTTTTTTTACATTATGTTAGGAAACATTTATTATTAACCAGTTTTTTGGTAAAATATAAAAGATCGGGTCACGTCGGGTAAATAGACACCAAACATGTCAAGCTTTACAATTGCGCGCACCCACGAAATCGCAGAAAACTACCATACCCACAATTGGCCATAGGCGACACTTTAAAACCGTTTACCGCTCATCAGTTTAGTGTTATCAGTGATTGATGGC